ACAGCTGCCCCGGCCTCACGCTGCACCGGCTGCGCATCCCGGACTTCTGTCCGCCCGCCCCGGAGCAGATCGACCGCTTCGTGCAGATCGTGGACAAGGCGAACGACCAGGGAGAGGTCAGCGGGCGGTCAAACCGGGGGAAGGGCCCTGGGAGGGGTCAGCGGGGACACTCGGAATTGGGGGAGCAGGGGAGCTGGGGGAGCTGGGGGAGCAGGGTCGGGGACCCAGGGCCGGGAGGGAGACGGGGAAGACCCGGGGCCTGGAGGCTCCGTGTGAAACTGAAACGGGAAACCCAGGGGAGGGCGGGGCGGTGAGCGGGAGGAGGAGGGCCCAGCCCGGTGAACCCGCTGGTGGAGAGGAAAAACCGGTTGCAGTTGAGGGCTGGGGAAAGGGTTGGACAGACATGGGACAGGTGGAGGCCGAGGCTAGAAGCTATTGAACAGTCTCCACAGCAGGGCTCCGTCCAAATACAATGGAGCCATGTGTACTCTTCAAGTTTCTAGCAGCCACGTTTTTAAAGGTGAAAAGGGAACAGGGGAAATTCATTTTGATAATATAATTTAGCCCGGTAAGTCAGAAATACTGTTGCAACATATAATCAGTATAAAGTACATCCTTAGTGAGGTGTTTGCGTTGTTGTTTGCACTGCATCTTCACAACCTGGTTGCATTTTACATCCCATCTCCATCTGGACCAGCAGCCCAGCAGGTCCTCGGTAGCCACAGGTGGCCAGTGCCTTCTACACTGGAGAGGCAGGGAGATGGTGGTGGGGAGGCAGACCAGGAGCCCAGCCCTTCAACCAGCCACTCTGCCGGTGATTGGTGGCCTCCTGGCCACAGGTACCGGGCCGCCGCCCTCCGGACTTCAATGCCACTTCCCGCCCCTGTGAGGTGTGCAGGATCCTGGGCCTGGCCCAGAAGCAGCAGCTGGAAGGCGAGAGAGACAGGCCTAAGTGAGGGCCAGGAGAGTGTGGGGAGGGCGGGAGGCTCCGCCCCACCAAGCTCCCCCTTCGCAGGCTGTGGGAGTGCACTGTGCCCTGGGCTTTGGCCGCACGGGCACCATGCTGGCCTGTTACCTGGTGAAGGAGCAGGGCCTGGCTGCTGGAGACGCCATCGCTGAAATCCGGCGGCTTCGACCGGGCTCAATCGAGACACATGAGCAGGAGAAAGCGGTCTTCCAGTTCTACCAACGAACTAAATAGGGGCCCCAGCGCCCTTCTTCCAGGCCCGCTGCCTGACCAGGGTGTCAGAGGGGCCAGAGCTGTGGAAGTAGACTGAAGCCTCCAGCTCCCAGCCGGCTCACGAGACGGACGTCGCCCTTCCTGCTGACAGGTTCTGATTGGAGGGATGTCTGGAGCTGCATTGATGTGGGGGTCCCTCTTCTGCTTCCTTGAATAAATAACTTATAAGAACCAGTTCCTGTTGCCCAGCGCTTTACAGTTTACAAAGCACTTCTACATGTCAACTTAACTTGAGCCTCACCGTAGCCCTAGGATGTCGGAAAGGCACTGTGGAGGAGGTGGCTAAAGCTCAGAGAGTTTCAAGGTTACACTTCTAGAAAGTGGGAGGATGGGCCAGGACTACAACACACATCTTCAGCCTCTTAAAGATGCTAAAACTCTATGTATCTATTATCTGATAGGTCTTCTGGAGAGCTGGTCAGTGAGAAGGGCACAAATCCCCCAAAGCCCAGGGTCCCCGATGCTCACAGGCTTGGGTGGGGGGCCCACTTGGACGCAGCCCCGCTGTCTAGGCCCACGTCCCCCATGTGTGTCATTTCCTTGACCCTCTCAGGACAGAGAAGGCCTGGATGTTGTGCTCAGCTCCCAAGGGCTGTGGGCCTCTCACCAGCCTCAGGGTGCCCAGCTCACATGCTTCTCATCAAAATGTCCTCCATCCTTACCTGCCCATCCTACCTGCCCTGCCCCAATAGCATGGTTCGTTCTGTTTCTTAATGCAACCCAGAGTATCTTCCAAAGGGCTGTGTGTGTGTGTGTGTGTGTGTGTGTGTGTGTGTGAGAGAGAGAGAGAGAGAGAGAGAGCGCGCGAGCGTGCACATGAAGGCAGGAGGGGTGTGATCGGCCCGCTTCCTGTATTCCTTCCCTCCATTTACCAGGATGTGAAGACAGGTGGGAGGCTTGAAGCTTCACCCTACGTTCATATCTCTGCTCTGGTCCTGACCCGCTGAGGTGGTACAACAGGTCCTCACACTCTCTGTCCTCTGTCCCAACCTGGCTCCACCCTCCCCATGTCTTCTGCTCGCAGGAGAGGGATCTGCCCTGTCCTTCCTCCTGAGGCTTCTTCAAAGGGGACAGAAGAATTTCTAACCCATAAAACCCTCTATGCAGCCTCCATCCCCATAAAGTAAGCAGGTCTCCTCTGCCTCGAGTGTTCCTCAGGGAAAGAAGCATAATTATGTGCTTAAGGAAATAGGTTTTAAATAAGAGTTGGCTTGGAATGAGAAACTGTCCTTATCCTTCCATCTACTTTGGGAGGTTAGTCTGAGATTCCCTTTGGGCTCATTCCCACTCCCAGATTTTCTGCCTTTCGCTCACCCCCTCTTCCGTATAGGCCACCAGTGAGGGATTACAGACCAGCCATGACCCTCCCCCATTCTACCCCTCTGAGAGAACAGGTGTGAGGAACAAGCCCTCCATAGACAAGGAGCCTTCACATTGCATCAGACCAGGACTTTGCCAGGTCAGCACTGCTGGTGTTTGCGGCTGGACACTTTGTTTTGGGGGGTCTCCTGTGCACTATAGGGGGTTCCAACATCCCTGGCCTCTACCCACCAGACGCCAGTGGAATGCCACCTCCAAAAAAGTGGCAGCAAATATGTCTCCAGACATGGCCAAATGTCCCTGGCAGGACAAAGTCAGCCCCATTTGAGAACCCACTGCATCAGATCAGCAAGACCACATGCAGCCATAGGCTTTTGTTTGCTGTGGGAGCAGAGGTGGGAACACACTCGGGAATTTCTCCTGTGGGTACACACATTTGACAGGGGAGAAGGGGCCAAATTAAACACCCTCAAACACCATTACCCTTTTGAGGAGTGTCTGGCACTATCCCCAGTCCATCCCCCTTTTTCAGGCTGGGTCCCCAAGATGGTGATGGACACTACTAACTTCCTATATGTAGCAAGTGCTGTATTCGCAATGAACTGCTGGTGGGCATGGCTGCAGTAACACTGACTCCCACCCCCATGTTTTTAAAGTTTTATTCATGCTTATTCTCTGGCATGTGGTCCAAGTTCCCTGCTGAAGGGAGTCTTTTGTGTGTGAAAAACATCCCTGCCCTCGCCTGTTTGGCCTAGTGGATAGAGCGTCTCTGGCTGTGGACTGAAGGGTCCCAGGTTCAATTCTGGTCAAGGGCATATGCCCAGGTTGTGGCTTGATCCCCAGCAGGGGGGCGTGCAGGAGGCAGCCGATCATGATTCTCATCGTTGATGTTTCTCTCTCTCTCCCTCTCCATTCCTCTCTGAAATCAATAGAAATATATTTAAAAAGACAAACAAAACAAAAGCCTGTCAGTATCTTGCCACTCTTTATAAGAAGGAAGCCAGTTTAATCTCATGGGATTGTTTTGTGACAAACCAATGTCAGTTACCACTAATGCACTTCACACTTTGTTGTGACTGCACTTTGCTTACTGATCCTATATAATAAAAGGCTAATATGCAAATTGACCGAACAGTAGAACGCCCAGTCACTCTGACGCGCACTGACCACCAAGGGGCAGACGCTCAACACAGGAGCTGCCCCCTGGAGGTCATTGCGCCAGAAGCCGGGCTTACAGCTGGCAAGTACAGCAGTGGTGGCAGGAGCCTCTCACGCCTCCACAGCAGCACTAAGGATGTCCGACTGACGGCTTAGGCCCAGGAGCGGGCCTAAGCCATCAGTTGGACATCCCCTGAGGGCTCCCGGACTGCAAGAAGGCGCAGACTGGGCTGAGGGAACCTCCCCTCCCCTCAGTGCACGAATTTTGTGCACAAGACCTCTAGTATGATTATAATTGGCATATTTATGAAGCACCTACTGTAGAGCAGGTGTTTGCATACATTGGGTTATATCATTTTATCCTCTCAACCATTTTGAAAATCAGTCACTTTTTTATTTTTTATAGATGAGGGAACTGAGGCTTAGAGAGATGGCGGACTTGCCCAGTGCCTCACACTTGTGCGAAGGAGCTGGCAGCAAACCCAAGTAGTAGCTCCACACTCTGCTCCTTCAATCAGACACCTGCCTGCCAAGACCTGCCCCTGGTCCCAGTTACACGGGGAAGTCCACCTTCATGCTCAAAGCTTAGCTTCATCAAGCTGACTCTCAGGCCACTTCTGTTACAGCCACTATTGTCTAACTCAGAGCATATGGCTATCCTTACCTGGCGGGACAGGCTTAAGCACGTGTGCTGGCCTTGAGCCCTCAAAATATCATTTTATGTCTCATGATTTATTAAAAACTCTAAATCCTTCTGGTTTTGTTGTTGTTATTTGAGCCCTTAATGCATGGCAGGCACTATCCCCAGTACTTTATAGACATCATCTCTTTTAGTCTTCAAAAGAAGCCTAAGAATAAGATCTTATAATGACCAGATGAGCGAGCTGGGGCCCAGAGAGTTTAAGAAACACGCCCAGAGTCACATCGCTAGAACAGGATTCAAACTTGAGTTTGTCTGACTATAAACTGCCTTCCCTCTTAGGAGCAGAGAGAAAAGACTTTGTTGTAATTGGAAAATATATAACAGCATCTTGTGTTCCCTGGAATCACAGCTCTGGGCTTGCAAGCTGTCAGGAGAGCCCTGTGATTACCTGGCTCCACCCCCACCCTCCACCCCCCACCCCCGGCAGGGACGCTCCTACTCGCAGTGTTGGGCTGCGGTAGCCATCAACCCGAACAGGCCTCTGCCTCCAGCCTCCTGCACCATCTAAAACATAGTCCCCTGTTGATTTTAAAATGAGTTACATAAGCACTCCTTCCATTACTTTAAAATTTTCTCTGGCTATTACGGATCCAAGGCATACTCCTGAGAAGGCCGCGTGTTTGTCCAAGCAAGCGGAAATCTGAGAGACACTTTGGTGCACGTCCATGCCTGCAGTTGATGACTTATTTTCAATGTTGATAACTCCGTCCTTTCTGGCAATAAATTGCTTCAACCGCTCTCTCGCCCTGCTTTTTCCTTCACTCATTCTGTTGCCATGGATATTTGATAATGAAAGAAATTGGTGAGGACACCTCTGAGTTTTCACTATGTCTATGGCAAACAGTTCTGGGGTTGTTTCCTCCCGGCTTTTATAATAAACACAGCACTGTTTCTTCACCAGCATATATGGAGTAGCAACTCTGTTCCATACCCAAGGTGGGCCATATGGAAGTACTTAGCGTAGACATCACCCCAGGTGGCCCTGCTCACCTGCGTGGGTTTTATGTGTCCTTGGGCTCCTCCGAACCCACCCCAAGAAAATGTACTGATCTGCATGTTTTCTATAGGTGCCCTTTGTGAGATCTAGTTGGGGCTGGGTGCAGCCTAGGGCCATGAAATAGAATTAATAAAGTAACCACACTGGGACCAAGCCCACAGGCAGAACTAAGCCATTCTTGACCATGGCCTATAAGGCCCTGAGGAGCCCTTTCCCTTCCTCCAGCTCCTCCCTGGCCTCATGCTCTCCCCTCCCCCATCGCCTTTGTTCTCTCCGCTCTACCTGTGTTGAGGTCTCCAAGACCACCCTAGGGTTTGATGATTTGCTAGAAAAACCCACAGAAAAGCTGTTCTACTCTCACTGATGGTTTATTGCAGTGAAAGGATACACGTTAAAATCAGCAAAGGAGAAAGGCTCACGGGGCAGAGAGAGTCCGGGAGGAGCGGGCAGAGCGTCCAGGGGAGCTGACGGACAGCGCTTTGTTCTCCCAGCAGCAGGGTGTGACCGCGCTTAAAAAACATGGCCAACCAGCGAAGCTCCCCCAGGCCTTGGTGTCCAGGGCTTCTGCTGGGGCCAGTCACATAGGATGCAGCACCTGCACGGCTGACCTTAGCTAGTCAGTCTCCATGGAGGTCAGACTGAGAGAGCAGGGCCCCAGCTACCTGTGCACACCAAGTAGGCATTCACCACACCACGCTATTAGCACAGACGACTGGCCTGGCCCACGCTCTCAGTACAAAGACCCTCCTATGAAGCAGGATATTCTGAGAGCTCAGGAGCTGGTCAGGAGACAGTCCCAAAGGCCTTTGGAACATGGCAGGTTGGGCAGCCTTTCCAGCACACGACCAAATGCTCATGCTGTCCCCACTTGGGAGTCCAGCACACGCGATCTCCTTTGTCAGGATGGTTTGTTCTCCAACTCGTTGCCTAGCTGCCAACTCCTACCCCCCAGAGGTGTCAGTTTAACATTATTTCCTGGGAGAAAGGTCTCCCACCA